GTATTTAATGGTGGATCCTTGAGACACTATAATGTTTCTATTTGTTTTTATCGCAAATTTAATTTAGAGTTTCTCTTACCTAGGATGAAAAAAAAAGACCAAATGGGCAATAATGGGCATTTTAATAAAAGCCAGAGAAAACTTTTGCTCTTAAGAATTCTGAATTTAGTTTCTTTGAGAAATCTGTGTTGCGAACAACACAAACTTACAACAACGTCTGGTGGTGAATTGTGGCCGCAAGATATGCTGTAATGGTTAGCGTGACATAGTTCCTTAACTTGCCTAGTTAAATTAAGATTCTATTGAAAATATTTGAGACAATTAGGAAAGGATGAAATGAAAGTAGAAACACGCGGCCTGTTCTAAGGGTTTAATTTTTTTTTTAATTACGTGAAAACAAAGCACAGTAAGGAGCAAAAAATGCTCGCAATGTTTTAACATTCAAAAAAAATATTCATGTCTGCACATAATTTGCTAAAACCGAAAATATATTTGAAACATTCAGCGAAATGTGAATTACTTAAAAAAAAAAAAAAAAAAAAAAACAGTAAAGAAAATTGGCTAACAAGAGCAGTTAACGAACAGCCAGCCAAACAGTTAAATAACAAAACCGAAAACCATTTACCACCAGCAGGGTTAGAGTTTTAGTAGGATTGTTGGTGCTGCTACAGCTATTATTTCAAGTTATGACAACACTTGTGCAGTAAATGTTAACAGTTTTATGTTTACGAGTCAAAAAAGAACGGAAACGGAAGTGCGCTTATGGCATAAAAGCGTTTTCTTTCATTCAACGTCAACAATGTTAACATACATACACATGCGAGTCTGAGTTTTTCCCAATTTTTTTTTTTTTTTTTCAATTTTTTTCCTTTCATATAACATTTACGATAAAAATTTCGTCATATCGTTAAAAATGTGTGCAGTGTGTGGCACGTTTTTTAATGATAACACCAGCCAGCCAACCAGCCAACCAGCCAGCCAACCAGCCATTCGACAAGAGCTCTCAACATAAACTCTCTATGCAACCGTACTCATGCTAGGAAAACACAAACGATCGCCAATAAAAGAAAAAAAAGCAAGCGACGGTAATGAAATGCAATTGTTTTTGGGTAGCATAGAACAGGAAGCAAGAAGAATAAAAAAAAATGGAATTAAAATTTCTACCACATCGACGTGAATGTGATGAAAAATTTAGCTTTGATTTCGTTTAGTTGAATGGAATTTGTGCTTGAGAAAGCGTCCGAATGTTTAGTGCACTTTACTTATAAAAGGAGTAGATTGGAGAAAGAAATGTTTTCGAGGCACGCTAACCAACATTCGCTTTGTTTTACCTTTGTTCCTGACCTGAAGTTTTAATCCCACAGTGCCCTACCCCACGATACACTGATTACATATCACGCATTAATCACCGCCACCAGTCGGACAATCTCTGTCTGTCGCTACTCCTAAGCTGCCATAACGATGTCAGAGGAGTAGATTGATTCTCCTTCTATTTCAACCCCCAATATTTAGCGACGGCGCGACTTTGGGATAATCGCAACTAGCACCGAACTCCTTGATCATTCCTAACAGCCAGAACGGAAAAGCCCAAAGCGACAACCGCACCCACGATATCTTAAAGCCAGGTTGTAAAGCGAAAAGTAAAGATCTTAGGCAACATGTAGTATTGGAACTTCATATTGAAACTCCATATATCCCGAATAAAATATATTAGCCATAGATTTTCAATGTCTGCAGCTGGACACAGCCTATTGCCATGCTCTCAAACCCACTTTTACTGGTTAAGTTAGCTTTTGGTACAAACCTCCATAACAGAATGACAATATAGAAAATAAGGCTCCTTGAAGAAGGACAACTTCGTCCTATACATGGCTTCATTTCTTTAGGGAATGAGGGATTCTTCTTATCGCAAAATTTCGCTAATATTTCAGCGGACATACGCTACGATTGCAGTTAGTTTAGCACCAACTTTTTGATTCTCTTTACAAACGCTTTAAAGCGGTTTTGTAATTTGCGGTAACGTACTAACAAGAGATCTGAAAGTTTTGACCTTTGAAATGATGTGTGAACACTTTATAGTTTTCAATGCAAATTTCTATTAACTGCGAACTATATAACAAAGTTAATATGCTATAGTGACGCTGGATATATATACAAAAAAATAAAATTTATTACAAACTCAATGTCATTAGCATTTATTGGCCTGTCATTAACGTCGGCAGTGATGATTGCCTTTACCCCTTGGTTTCCCTCAACATTCGTTAGTTATACTGTATAGTTAAAGTGTGCCAAAAAAAGGAACCCAAGAGCAAACGCTCTTTGTGTAGCCAGTCAAGCAAAGCCCATAAACAAATTGTACTTTTATTCTTTGTAAAGGAAGAGAAGGTTATTTAAAATCAGTAGGAAATAATAAAAGGCATGCAATTTTTAATGCGAGACCAAACAGATTGCCAAATATTACTGGCATAGTTTAATTTAAAACGAAAAAAAAAAAAGAAAATTAAATAAATTAAAAAAAAAAGAAAAAAAGACAAATAACCAACATAAGCAAGGAAAGATTAATACTCAAAAAATGTATAAATCTCTGCCTCTTTTCTTAGTCCTTTTAGCGCAAACTTACTTTGTTTTCTAAAGGTATTCTGTTTGCCAATTCCGTTAGGTTATGGTAGCTGTTTCTAATTAGTTTAATATTTTAGATGAAATTACCATAAATTTGGTCGTGTTCTTTTCATAGGCGAACGAAAATCATTTACAAAAGCAACTGCTTTGCATTTCCTTATGGGCATCAAACTTGTGCAAAAAAAGTATGAATGTGTAATGCAACCTTATTCCTTGAATCATGTTCAGAATTTTTTTGCTAAAAAGGAAAATCGAACGCTTGACATTACGATGTAATGCTTTCAAAACCGAAACGCAAAGACATTTGATCTTTTTTGTGTTGTTACTGTAAAATGTGTTTGTTTTTTTTTTGTGATATATGTATTTAGTTTATCAAGGCGTTTGCATTAGCGAGAAACAAGTTTCAGAAATCGCATCAAGTATATATATTCTTGAAGAGTATCAAATTTTGAAGCGATTTAGCCATGTCCGTCCGTCCGTCTGTCTGGGCGAAGTTTCTCCTTCTCGCAAAAATGAAGATACCGGTTTCAAATTTGACAAAAGCATTGAGCCAAATCGGTGAATAGATCACTCCCACAGTGCAACATAAATTGACATCTCTGCTTTTTGGTTTTTTGGCTTATTACTCGTAAATATGATAAAAATTTCCACTACACATATCCTGCAAAAAAGCCAAAAACTCAGCCGTCTAATGTTATAGAGCATGGACATATTGAGAACGATTCGATAGGAATTAGGTCTTCTGACAAGAAATGTAAGCTACATGAGGAAGCTTTCTTCTTTAATTAGGAATTCAGCTATAGAATTATAAATTTTCTCATCGTTTTCTCTGTTACCTGACAACACATGTAGTTTTGAACTTAGGATAAGCTTTTTGTTGGATGCAGCAAAAGCGGTATATTCAAGCCAAAAAAACGTCGAGAAAACAGAGAACGCGGTGTATTGCAACGATAAGAACTATAACGATCTTCAAAAGAATTTGTTTAAATGAACTTGGTTTTAGTGAACTAAAGAGCGACGAATAAATTTTTTCCTAATCTCTAGAACCATTTATCGACATATATAAAAGCCTGCGCCGCTTAAGGTTTGAAAGCGTAAAACATTCAAGTTTTTTTAAAACATATCGCTACTCAAGAATTTATTTGATACACACATCGAGGGGGTTGTTAGAAAAGAAGAAATTGAAAATACAAAAAAAAATTGACTGCAGCTGTATTATCATCGGAAACAAAGATGTCGTCAGAATTGCACCACGATAAAATATAAAGAAGAGTCCAAAGTGCCGATGGACAGTTTCAATGCTGACACGAAAGCAACCGAAATAGAAGGCTCTACCAACAAAGTTTAAATGCGTTTTTTTCGAAAGACAGACTTTATTACTAAGGTTATTATTATCATTATAAATTGTTGGACAGAAAGTAAGATGAGCCCTAGCAACCGTCTAGTGCTAGTCTCTTTTTTTATTTTTTAAAAGACAGACCCCATGTCCGATAAATAGAATTTTTCCCTACGCTTCGAAGACCAGTCTTCGAATATTGGAAAGGCTTTGGCATTCATAAAGTATATATTTAATTGTAACACATGGCCCACAATTGTAATTTGGAGGAGTAGATTTCTTTAGAAAATAGCCCAACAAGAATGTTCTGCATTAATTGTAACTCAAGTCATGTTCGGTTCTTTCCCTACCAACAATATATATTAATAAAAAAAGCCAATAATTTCCATCCTAAATACGAAGTATTTTGAGGACTCGTTTTGCTTCCTATCTGTTCTTATCTCCACATTCTGAAAAGGAGATACTTCATCGAAAGTCCATGAACTTATTCGACATTCGCCATCAACATGATATATCGAACTTTGTTTGCATAAACCTATATTTATTCCCTATAATAAATATAAGCGAGCATCGAGTCATTTTAGTGAACAGAACTTTTTTCCACATGAATATAAGTGTTCTTTAATATATGCTTTGTTGGCTAAAGGTTTTTTGTTCGAATCAGAATAAATTCGCTCACTGCTTTCATGTCAAATTTTTATTTTATCTAGAGTACGGTTAAGAAGATATTCAATAATTACTAGAATGATACTAGTTTTTGACCTATTAGTTAGTTAGTTAGCAATATAGCAAAAGAAATCGTTCATCGCTTTATAAAAATGCTGTATGTGATTAAAGTGAACTTTAGTTTACATAGAATGGAAATTTAATTTGTTTGTCATCGTCTTGCAACAACAGTAAACATTTTTCAGCAGATTAATTTGCTTTGAAATGAATGAAAAAAAGAAAGAAAACAACAGCTGAGCAAACATTCCTCGACTCTTTGTTATTGCATTTACTTTTTTTAAGTCCATTATTAAAATAATTGGAATTATTTTGTACTTACCCGGAAATTCTTGAGGTATGAGTACACCTTTCTTGCGATTAGCTACGGTCGTCTTAGCGTTGTGACCGTGATAAAGGCGACGTTGACGCACCAATCGATATAACAAAAACAATTCACCCTGTTCGTCTTCATGTAAAACTTGATTATTATTGTAGTTAACGCCAATATTGCCACCACTGCTACTACTGTTTGCACCATTAATTGTTATAGAGGTATTCAGTTGCTTAGAACCGCTATTATTACTACTGCTGCTATTGCTAATGATTGTGTGTGTTGCGTTAATGACATTAGCACCTCTGGTCGTCACCGAAACTGAAGAGGTTGATGATGAAGTTCCGGTATTTGAATTTGAATTGGAAGTAATCATATTAGCGTCTGCATGTGACGACGTTGGATTTGTAGTGACAGCGGTGGCACTAGTCGAAGAGTTGGATGTTACTGTTGAAGAGCCATTCGAGGAGGACGATTGTAAGGTTTCATGAAAATATTTTGTTTTATACGAAATTCGAACCACTCGGGGCAATGAAAAGCGTTCCAAAAATTCCTCAGCAGGCAATGGTTCATTTTGAAGCTGCAATAATTAATAAGAATTTTCAAATGAATTTATAAAATATAGAATGAAAAGCAACAGAAAAACTCACTTCATTACTATATTTTGATGTCTTGCTATCGCCGGTTGAATAATCACAGCTAATATTACCAGTTGCTAAAGCTGAATTACTGTTCGCATTGCCAATTAAGCCGCCTCCAACAGAGTTGCTACCAAAGCAGTTGCGCATACGCCTTTGAAGACGTTGTTTTAATTCTATCTCGTTACGTCTGGCTAAGCGAGCATTCTCGAAATCCGCTACCGAGAACATATTCGAGCTGGTGTCATGCGAATTGAAACGCCTTAGCTTGGCCTTGCGACCCTCAGCTAAATGATGTAAGCCATGGTGTGGATGATGATGGTGTGCATGATGTGAATGTGTGTGATGTGCTCCTGCGACTACTGTAGCACCTGTATGCTTAGCATTTGAGGTAACATTTGATGTACTTATGGCTGAATGTCCACCGCCACTGCCTACCGCCCCCATATTACCATTACTTGTCATTAGATAAAATACTGGATTATTGACCGAATTGTTGGCTCCACTCACGCAACCTGCGCCGCCTGCATGTTTCGCATTAAAATGATGGTTGTGATGCATATAATTGTTCGAGTTAACTGGTGTATGACCCGCACTACTAGCATTGGCTGCAAATTGTAAAAAGAAACTTGCTTAGTACTGAAATTCTTATAAAATATGACGAAATTCATTTCCTAGCGGGATGACTTCTTTCATGCTCAATTCACTTCAATGCTCACATACATTGTGCTCTCTCTCTCTCTCTATCTCTCTATCTCTTTAGTTCTCATTACTACATTCATTTTTTATCCTCTTAATGTTTATATATTCGTACTCACCACCACTTGTTGTAGTTATCGGATTAACTGCTGACACTGCTGCAGTCGTTGTTGCTATTACCGTTCCAGGACTTGATGCGCTGCTATTATTGGATGGTGGAGGTGTTGCCATGTGAGGACTACTTTTAATTAACCAATTCGCTAAATGTCGTTGACGTTCAAATTCGATATTTGTGCGTTGCATTTCGGCCAATTTAAATGAATCGGTCATGTTTCGTACGCATCAAGCTTACACGTAAAAAAAAACTCACTCAAATCATTATTAAACGTTTGCTGCACAATTTAAAAGACAAAAAAAATTAATTATTTCTCTTCAATAATTTAAATGATTAATATTTTATTTAAGATTTTATTTACCAGCAGTTGAAATTTATTTCAATGTAATTTCTCAAGATCCTGATAAGTATGTGTAAAGAACGCGGCTGGTAACTGTAATGAGTTGAAAATCAAGTTCGCTTAGCTGCCAAACACAATTATTCAGTGTTATGCTTAAGGTGTGGTGAAATTTCGTTTCTTTTTTTTTTTTCTTTTGTTTTCTTTTTTTTTGTTTTTTCTGTTGTCTTTGTCTGCTCTCTTACAAATTGAATGCAGCTCTCTTTCAAAGTCTCTCAGTCAGTCGGCCTCTTTTATAGGACAAATACATACATATTGATTGCCGTTGGTGATGGTTATGATGAATGAAAACATATATATATGAATCCAGAAGAGAGAGTGAGGAAGAGTTTTTTATTTTTTTTGTTGAATTCTACAAAGAAACAATAAAAATTGTAATGAGTATAACTTAAAGAGTAAAGTAGTAAGTGCTAATGTTGGATTGCTTGACAAGTGTTGAATATAAGAATATAAGAAAAAATATATATATGGAATACGTAAAACACAACTTTTTTGACCTGCCGCACTTTTTGTCTTTTACTATCGAAATATGAAAAAAAATAAAAAGAGAGATAACTAAACAATCAACCCAACAGTCTGACGGGTATAAAAATTAACCACCCACCCATTAAAAGTTTTAAGCGTACTGGTTACCTCATCGTTATCAACATTACAGACAGACAGACATTAAAGACAGCCGTTTCGTCTGTCTTGTTCGTTTGTCCGCCTGATTATTTACCGGTATGCCTTCCTTCTATTTGGCTGTTCGTTCGTTGTTCGTCAGTCTGTTTATATTTCGTGTGCTGTTAAGTTAACTGTATGAGACTTCGACTCTTCTTGTTTTATTAGTATTAAACAGCAACAACAATAAGTCTCTGGCAATGGTGCGATAATCATAACATAATCATCAACGCGCTTTACTTTAGCATAGTTAGACTGGAGCTGTGTATTATTATTATTGTTGTGCGCTGTGAGTGAAAATGTTTTCAGCCTATAGTAGCAAAAATGAAACTTTTTCTCGTTAGTTGTCAACCCAGCAAAATAAAACGGAAAAAAAAACCTAAATGAATCACAGCAACAAATAGTTTTTTCTTTTTTTTTTTTTTTATCTTTGAACGTATATTCATTTGCTTTGTTTTTCTTGTGTGTACATATATATGCACCTGGTTTAGTTATATATATATATATATATATATGGTTTAGTTATATATATATATATGTATATATATATTTATTTTATTTTTTATTTTTTTCATATACATCCATTATATATGTATATGTGTGTGTAGTGTATACAATTACAAAAAAATAATAGCTTTTAAATTCAAGAAAAAAAAAAAATATTTATGCATTGCTTTGCTTATTTAGTAACAAAAGAATTAATGTGTACCGAGGTATAAACGTATAAACGTGTACCAAGTCTTCGAGACTCTGCTTACTGTGAAATTGTATTCACAAAATCAATTATTGAAACTCGACTCCTCGCAAACATGCTCAGAAATAACTTAACTACATAGTAAAGTTTCTTTTTTTTTTTTTTTTTTTTTTTTTATTTCGTCTCAAGGTCATTTGGATCATATATGTACTCAACAATTATATTTTTAATTCAATACAATTGTTTTTTATACTCGCAACTATCACCTACTGAGGTATAGGAAATTTGTTAACCCTTTTGCAACATTCAAAAATATAATATTACATAAAAATATCCATAAAATATTTCTTTACAGTCGCTTTAGGAAAAAATGGAAGGGTTATTACCGTACACAGGTGCGGTTCATTTTCCTTGGCTAAGCGCGCAAGCAGTATTATGTGTGTCAAGAATGTGCGGGCAAATCTTGGGTGAATATTCACGAATCCATATGAGCCGAGATTGAGATTTTTTCGAAAAACATAAGCGTAACTTGTAAAGTAATGATCGCAATATCATATAATTTTCGCAAATTTGTATTGAAAATCATATGGATTCGCCGCTAATAGGGCGACATCTGTAAACCATCCTACGAACTAATTGAATAATAATATGCTGTACACGTTATGGGATCTTTGAAGCGTATTTCAGCAGGTTACGAGCGAAAGCAAGAACTCTAGTTCGGCATTGCCGTTCTTTGCATGTGGGTGTAGATATATCTAATCATTGACATGTATGTTATATCCGCTTTTGGCGTATCTTTGAGGTCAAACGAATACATTCAAATTGCAAACTCGTTCACCTTTATACGGCCCTAGACAATATTCGTCCAAAAAGTCTTATGTGCAATAACTATTGCCAACCGGTTCTTGCTTATTGTGGTTGTACTTGTAGGCGTATCGATGACTTGCGATTTGTGACTTGTAAGATTTTGATATTGAACTTTTTAAAAAACTCACCATAATAAGCTTACAAAAGATAGCTTCAAGGTAGAAGTACCGCGAATTACCTGCAGCTTACAAAGAGAATGACGAATACGGTGTGCTTGCATTTTTCGATAGTGAATATAGAAAAACATTTCGCTATACAGATATTCCTCATTGTTTTGAATATCGAAAGCATTCACGTGTTGGGCGGTAAAAAAGCGGACAAATTCACATAATATCTTTTCACTTTCCCGTGAATGAAAGGTTATATTATACTGAAACGATCCCAGGTAATATTTAATTTAATGTCAAAAGAAAAAATATTATACGTAACTCAGGGCCGACTTGTGTCTTTATTAAGTTATCAAAGAATAAAAATGAAAAATAGTAGTTAAAAAATTCCATCTGACGTGTACATTGGCTACTTCATCGCTGTGCAGTATGCAGTATTTTAAACCAATAGAAAAATTCACGCGTGTACATACATGCACACGTTTGAAATGTACGCAAAATACAACCTTACAAAAGTGATTGCGAGGCATAACCTTTTGTTTGCTCATTGTGTAGTTTTGCTGATCGATAATTTGTAAGAGTTACCGTTACATTGCGTGCATCTGCATAAATATTAGTGCATTAAAATTTTAACCCCTGCCGCAAAGAACAAAAGTTCCTATTTACGTATTTTATTAGATTTGCAGAGGCATGAAAAGCATGAAAAGCATGAAAACCTTTAATCCAAAACATTATCGGAATGATTCGGTGGCTGATAAACATAATTTTTTCTTTTTCCATTATAATCCTATGTGCTTTAGATTCATATCAATAACAATTTGCTTCGTTAAGAAGGACAGTTATAGCGTTTGAATTTTCATGCCACACAACAGGAGGTCTTTAAGAAAGTGAGTAAGAGAATAAAAGAATCACTTGACTTAAATGACTGTAAACCCATTCAAACCCATTACACGCGAGAGAAATCTCATTCGGTGCTTATCGTTGACAAAGCGAAAGAGGTTTAGTTTCTTATAGCAGTAATTTAAAAATACACACACGTAAATTTTAATAAGTACATGGCGAATTTAGTGGCTACGGTTAACAACATCTATCATTCAGAATTGCTGCATTTGGGCGAACACACGAAAGTAGAACAAGGAATTTAAGGGAATTTCGCTCTGCTTTGTAGATGAGCTTTGACAGATGAGCCTATAATTCAGTGAGATGCATAAGCATACCACCTTTAGCTCATTAACTGTAGGCCTAGTTGCACCTACAGAAGTTAAACTCTTGTTGGGTGTTACCAAACAGCTACGATTTAAGGTTTGGGCAGTGCTCGCAGACAGTTAGACGGACATGCATAAATCGTTTCGGAATTTAAGAATACATATACTTCTTGAGGACTTTAAAGCTCCTTTTCAGGTCTTGAAAACTATTTGACAAAATGAACACAGTATCCAACCCTTGGCGGGAGGTGTAAAAAAGTACGTTTTTAGGCATTTTTGAGTAGGCCACACTCATTAACTCTTCATACCTCTAACTACATATTTCCAAAGCAGTCTATTTCACTTACACGAAAGAGCTTGTGATGTAGTTACACGTATAAATATACAAAGAAATTATAAAAATATGGCATTAATGTATTATTTTTTAGGTGAGCTATTACTTATTAACGATTAGGGATAGGTGATTGGACTTTTAACTCCGTTTACTCTCTTGTTTATTTTCTGTATTATGAAAATATCTACTAGAGTTTGATCATCGAATTAACCTCCGACTGGGCAATTGGCCTACAAATATGGTTGGAATATGAAAGCTTATGAAAGAATAACGAGAGCATAATGCAAATGAAATCTAAACCAGTAGTTCTGCGCACATACCTTATTGTTGTCATCGCACATAAGCATAAATTTGTTGAAATTATTCCTTGGGTTTAAGTAGTTAAGTGTTCGTTCACCATTTTGTGTTATACGAAATTTTAATTAATTGTTTGAGAAACTGGTATATGCAGACTAAGAAACTTAACAGCTGTGAACGATGCACACATAAGTATGCATCACACGTGGCACACATAACTTGCTTTCCATTAGTATGACAAAATGATGGTTAGGTTTAGTTTTTACATAAGACATGAGAACATTTTTTAAAAAAAAAGAAAAGTTTTTTAATCAAAAGCCTGTGTTTGTTACTTTTCGCCGGCGAACAGAACAATAATTAACAATATTTAATGTCACCGCATCATTTCACATCAAAATCACATGGTGCTTGAAATCATAACCATATGATTGCGTTTTGTTTATGTAAACATCGTCGTTTTGCTTATCAATGCAAATACATGGAGCAGCGATAAAAGTTTGCCATCAATATTCACTTCTGCACTAATGAATGTAAGCTATATGTTCGACTGTATGTGAAAAAATAGATAAACACGTACGAGTAAGATAGAGCGAGTGTTTAAAAAGGTTTCCAATTATAAGAGAGTTCGATCACTAGGGACATCGGAGTTAACGTAAAAGATGCAGCGCTATTACATTATCGGCCATTTGACTGCTTGTTCCTTCATTCTCTGCATCGGTTTATATTTGTTTGAACAAAAAATCTGTTAAGAGTGTCTTGATATGATATCACATTTGTTGATCAAACGTTTACGAATTAAGATCATATAAAGTTTTGCGTTTTTAAGCAGGTATGCACGCGCATTGTCGTATACATATATGTATGGATACGTGGCTATGTACGGTAAAAAGTCAAAGTTCCATAATTTTAAAATAATTCTTAATATCAAGCGCAGCAAATGGCGCCTATATTCGTTGCAGTAAGCGTTCGTGCTAAAACAATCTTTTTTTCTATTTACAATCTCCTAGTACCTAAGTAATACATAATTACATAAGCTTGTTCTGTCTCGAAGATTTCCATTATCGCCAACTCTGAATAAGTTATCAGTGTTCATTAGTGTTCATTTGTTTTAAGAGAATTATTCTTATAATTCTATCTAATTCTTCTA